AGGATTAGACCCAGGGCGCAGTGGGTGGCAACAAGGATATCGGAGAAATTCTCTTTCGGTTTCGCGGAAAGACGACGAGCTACGCAAGGGTCCCCTCGTGTTCCGCACCAGTCTTGAAGAGATTGGGTGGCCTAGACAGGGCGAGGAGGGGGGAAAAGAACGGGGTGGGGTTGGGAAGGCGAGATTAGAGAAGCTGAAGGTAGGCAGGGTAAGTAGAATGAAATTTAGCGGGGGAGACGAGAACAAAATAGGTTCCGCTCCACCGATCTCTGGAAGCCAGTTGGGTGGGCGGCATCTGCGGCGCTCTGGCACTTGACGCCGCTGGCGGGTGGCGGACTCCTTCCACGGGTGCCATGGCAATAGCAATGGCATCGCCGGGAATAGAGTGGGCAGTACCAGGCACTTCTCAACTTATGACGACCGCCTGAGTCCCTTTCGATCACATTCTTCTGAGCCGCAGCAGCCCGCTTTTTTGGTCACTGGCAAGTTTTGTGGTCCCGAGCCAGTTGAATGGTTAAAGACCGTGATTTTGATGGTACCATATTGCTTTCCCGGCCGGAATCCCCATTGCTTGGGTTTCTGGTAACAGTGTATGGCGATGTGGCTGACTCGGGCAGTTTCAATAGGGCAGAAAGGGCCTTTGTGCGAGCGGCAGGCGGCGAGCGGCGAGTAACTGCGCATGTTCTGGGCACATTAGGAACAGGTGGGACCGTGGTGGGAAGAGTCTTCTTCTGTTGATGGAGAGAGACAAGTGACTCGTCAGACCACCTCTTGGATGTCTCGAAACCTCTTCAGCCCCTGTCCTGCCCTATGCCGGATGGGGGGGATCCTTGAGCCGGCCCTCTATTCTCGTGGGTCCCGTTCCCGCAAGACCTCATTTTGCATTCTGACCCTCGGCCTGTGCCTGTCATTGTCAGCACCATCGTCACTCCACAAACACGAACGGTTGGACCAAGTCGATCATTGCCACCTCTTATTACCCATTGTCGCTGGGCCCACATTCCATTGGGATCGTGCGCATGTTTCGTTGCTGTTTGCTTGGTATCCCCAGTACATTGGTGATATGCAACTATATTATACCATGACCTTCCTCTTGCTCTGCTCTCGAGTCTTGGTCGTTGTTCGTGTCGTGTCGCGTCGCAGTCGTCACAGTCGCCGTCCCAGCATCGGCCCAGGTTGGGTTGGTGGTTGGTTGCCCCTGAGTGCCTGAGCTTCGTGTTAAGCTATGTACTTCGCCTTCGCCTTCGTGTGGCGTCTGCCCCTTCTTCTCCCAGGAAACTGGCTCCATCGAACCGGTAGCCGCACCTTCTATTATTACCTTCCCTGGAATCCAACTGCCGGCTAGGAAACTATATTGTCCGTGGTCCCTTCCTTCATTGGTGGCCGGCCCATGTGCTAAACTTGTGTGTATTAAGCTCTTCGTTAATTTTTTTTTCGGGGCGGAGACTAATAAGCCTCATCGCGCTTTACCTTTCGGTGACTCGGGATTCTCTGTCGCCGTTTCCCTACAATCTTATTCATGCTAGGGGGACCCGGTTTAGATTTACGGAGTACTTCTTCATGGTTCATGCTTCACGGTCATGCTTCACTTTCCCTCTTCGTGGTTCTCATACCTCTCGTTCCTTCCTCATACTTCGTCTTCAATCTTCATGTTTCTCGTTCTTTCTTTATATTTCTCGTTCCTTCCCTATACTTCTTATCTTTTCCCTCGTCCTTCCTTCTTAAACTTCCCGTCGCCCCGGCTAGGTGACATTGACTTTGTACCCCTTTCATGTGGCTGGCCCCGTTGGATACTCTTCTCCCTTCTCCTTCCCTCGAATCTAGTCGCCACCTCGCCGCTTCCACGGTTGTTGACCCACAGGATTTCCTGAAGATGGTTCGTTTCACCCGAAGTGTTCTAGACCCCCCGGAAACTGCTCAACGGCCGGTTCCTCTTTTGGTATTCAGCCCAACCGTCCTGTCACGGAAGCGACAAAGGGCCACGAAGGATCCCTGTGCGCCGTTGCCTCGCCGAAGCCAACTCACTTTCAAAAGGGCTGCTGCTACTGGTCCGCTGGTGGCTGCAATTCCTTGCACAATATCCGGGGATGTGCCCTGGGGACCCCCGTTTTCCGTAAGGACGCTTGCCGAGACTTGGACCCTCTCCCAGGATGAAATAACTTTATACTTTGTGACAACTGGCCTCATCTTCTTCACCCTTTGGCACTGATCCTCCACTGATCCTCCACTGAACTTCGTTTATACGATGCGAGCTGCATGACCGTTGCAACCTTCCAACAGCATTTGTCCCACCCTTCTAGTAGATATCGACACATGTGGACCCCCGTTAGCGTTTTCCCTTCCGACATATCGGTTCATATTTTGCCCTCTACCGTTGCCACTCCCCGTTCGTGCATGTCTTCCTGCCGCTGCTCTGGTTACATGGCCACCAATACCCGGATTCCGAGCCAGGACACTCTGCATTCGTGCCAAGAATGGCTCTCCTCGCCGCTCAACGACCCGCGTCCTCTCCTCTCCTCCTCGACGATCTCGTTGAGTATTCGCCCGTGCTTCACTTCTCCTCTTAATGTTATTGGATGGTCTTCTATCTTCCCCGCGACTACCATTTGTTCTTTGCATGAAAAAAACACGTCTTTCTGCATAACAGGGACCTTTTAGCAGCATGCGCTCTCTCCCCCAGCCAGATAGATTTCCTGATGCCGTCCCACTCCGATTCCGACTTGCGACCCCCCTATTTGTCCTTTTACATCCGAGGCTCGAGAGACGCCCACAAAGAACCAAGCACTACCATCCCGACCTTGACCCGCAACAGTGGCGCTAGACCCTCCAACATCCGGAGAACGTTGAGATACCCACTTGGGAATGGACACTTGGAAGCTTTTAAAACTGCTGCCATGCAAAGCTTGTCATACCGAGGTTCCTTCCGAAGAATACGCCACTCCGCCCCGAACGCCAAGTAGATCTGGACACTACCATACTTCGTACATACGCATTCCTTCGACCTTTTCCCGAGACAAACCTTTATCCTGCAAGTGATCCGAACTACCGACCGCGACCTCCCATCCTTATCACTCCTGTACTTGCGTACTACCCCCAGACACTCGAGAGCCCCAACCCCCCGCGCTGCCCTGTCTCCACCTGCGTAACCTTGTCTCATGGCTATCTATCCCTTTGATCGCATCGATACACGTGTTCCCAGTTCCCTCGGTGTACCCGGTAGTCTCCATTTAACCAGGCGTCGGCCCAGTAGATCTTGAAAAGGACCCAGGGTATTTCCAACCGCCGGACCATAACAATCTTGACTAGGATTTCGATCGCAACCGTTTCCATTCTATAACCGAAGTACGCTTTACTTGGTGCCCTCCGACAACTCTACCAGAGTCTCCCGCGGCTATAGATTCCAAACCACGTAAGTATACCAGACTATTTCGAGTTAACTAACCCTTTAGTTCGAGACGACGTTTCCCCCTTCGCCCTGGACGATATTCCGCGATCTTCGGGAAGGCCAGCTCGATATTCTCGAATCTAAAAGCGATAACCACACGTCTAGATCGCATCGATCCCACGGCAGAGCCCACGTAATGCCCGAAGGGGAAGGAAAAAGGCTGGAAGAACAATGGAATTGGTTAAGAATATTTGGGATAGTTGGGCTTGGGCCGCAAAAATCTACATCTGGATGGTGGATGGAAAGAAGAGAATAAAATACATTGAAAAATACATTGGCTTCGATGGATTGAACTTGCCTCTACCTCCGACTAAAGGAGACATTGTGTAGCGTGCCATGTAATCCGCGGTGTGATCTATTAACGCGCTTCTCCCCTTCTATTTCCTGCTCCTGAGCGAGTTATTCGACAAACCTGGAACGGTGTATCAGTCTCGCGGATACTCCGTTAGGTCCGTCCTGGTTGGAACAGTTGGAATAGGCCGAGAGGTTCGTTGCCTCTCTTGGTACCTACCTACTTTCAGGTTTACTGGACAGAAGAAGTAAAGCACAACATACGTTTCTGCGGTTAGATTATCATGAAAGGCTAAACGAAGGTAAACGGATTCCATTTTTCCATGTGTCACAACTTGCCACGCTGAAGGATCGAACCTATCCTCTCCTCCTCTAGCATTAGCGGTGAGGAAAGATCCTGGAACTCCTCCTACCCTGGTCGAGCGCCCATGGACCGACCGAGACTAGCACATTGGAGCAGCAATGTAGTGGATATACGACTGAAGGTCTCCCGAGGGTTGGGACGCTCATTCAAGTGTTCGGAGAGTCCTCGCCGAGAGGTATGAAGTTATACCAGCAGTTGAACTGAGACTTCGGCTTGAAGAAGCAAACGGACACTTTTTCTCCTCTCAAGGCCCTACCCTAGTTTTGTTCCTCCTACCTGACTGCCTAACTTTGGGATAGGGGGTTTCCCTTTAGAGCCCCCTCCGACTGCTCTCCGAGTTTTAACTCGGATCCCTTGGTCCTCTGGCCCGACGGGACTGCTCTGGATTGCCAGCGAGATTCCCGTTCGCGGCCCGCAGGTTCTTCTCACGTCCTAATTGCCGGCGCCGAGAACTCTCCTAATTCCCCTCCCCAGTATTCTCGTTTAAGAAAAAAAGAAACCCAAAAATTCCCGAGGTATTATCCCCCCCCCCCCCTTTTCTTTACCTTTTGGCCATTAAGGATATCGCTTGTTAAGTCTTTATACAGGGCACTCCGGCTTTTAGATACTTGGATACCGATATATTTCCTTCCGCCAAGGAAGGGGGAGCTAACGACTAAAAAGACAAATTCCCTCCTGTTAAAACGCCTCCATTACGCCAATGATTTTCGGCTCGTTCCGTATAGTTACACCAAAACTTCAAAAGTAAAAAGAGAGAGAAAAAAAAAGGAGGGGGAAAAGGGGGGAGAGGATATAGCTCGAGACCAACAGAATAGAGAGGGGAACGAAGGAGAAGGGCATGTCTGGCAAAATCCCCCCCGCCTCACACAAGACAATTCACCTCCTTCCTCAATCTCCTCTTCACGCCTTCGACTTCTTCTTCTTCTTAGGCCTCTCCTCCTCTTCCTCTTCTTCCTCCTCCTCCTCATCGACCTCCATCTCATCATCAACATCACTCTCACCACCGCCCGCACTCCCACTCTCATCCCCAGAACTCTCATGATTACTGTCATACTCCTCGGCGACATCACTCTCGCTCTCCGCCTGGAAGTCCTCATCGACACTCTCCTCATCCTCGTCCGCAGATCCGCGATCGGCCTTGGCGCCGACGACCTCGTCATCGGACGAGAGGAGCTCCTCGCCGCGGAGGGTGGCGGCGAGCAGCTTGGCGTCCTCGTCGATCTCGTTCTTGACGCGGATGCCCTTGATGCGGAAGAACTCTTCCAGGCCCTTGAGATCCTCCCTGTTAATGTTGGAGAACTGCGAGGACCCGGCGCCGTTCTTGAGCTGCACGGTGATGTCGAAGGTCGAGAGGGCGGAGATGGCGCCCGTGACGCGGGAGAAGGTGACGGATTGGGTCTGCTCGTAGGCGATGTAGGTGGCGGGCTTTGGGACGAAGATGAATGCCTTTTCGAGGCAGTAGAGGAAACCTTCGCTCGCTTTGATGGAGCACTTGATGCCGAATTGCTGGCGGTGACTATAAAGAGCAGTTAGTTATTCTATCATTGTAGAAAAAAAAGAGGGAATCTGTGAGAGTTAGGAACGTACGTCTGGAAGTCCTTGGCAGGAGTTGAAATCTTCTTGTTGGCGAGACCCCTGAAGATGTAGGTCACAACTTCGTGGAGGGGCTGCTCGTAGTGGGACTGCAGCTTGTCCTTGTACCTTCCGGTGAGCTCCTCCTCGGGTAAGTTGAGATCGATAGTGACTTCGTCATCCTTCTTAAACTGCATGACAATGAAGGGGTATCGAGTTTGACCTTGTCTCAGGGGCGGGTCTAGGCCGACACAGAGCATGTAGTGCATGTCGTCGGGCTTGGGAAGTACCATAAACTTCTTGATAGCCTCGTACTGGATCTTGTAATCGTACGTCTTGCCCCGCATCCTGAACGAGCTCTCGTACATGTCGATATCGAAGCGACCTCTGTAGAAAACGAGATTAGACGAGCCCCATCTTGAGATTTCGTGGGTGGAGAGGGGCTTGGGGGGAAAACTAACCTGGGAGTAAGGTGGAGCACGTCCAAGAAAGTGGCAATAGTATCGCCAGCAGTCTCACCGATTTCAGCCTTCTCAATCAATGTCTCATAAAACAAAGTTGCGGCATTCTGCTCCTCCTCGTGACCACTTCCGCCCTCCTCGCCCTCGGCTTCCTTTCGCGTCGTCGTACCAGGAACGTAGAACCTCATCTCGACAAGCTGATCATCACCCGCGGCCGCCTTCTTCCCCTTTCCACCAGCAGTCCCGTTCGCATCTCCGTCAGCAGGCAGCGAGAATTCAATAGACACCTCATTGCGGCCGGCCAAGTTGGTGTTGGATATTTCCGAGTAAGGAACCTCAAAGGCGGGGCGGTTCTGCACGTTGAAGGTGAGCTCAGCTTTTGTGAACTCGGCTTTGCCCCAATTCCATCCCCTCAGCGCGTGCTCCTTGTTCTCGAGGTTGGAGCTGTACCAGTTCTTGAAGATCTTGGCGAGGCGGTCGTGGTCGTCGTGCTGGAAGCCGTCCAGCTGGATGACGCGCGAGGTGCGGTCGAGGATCTTCAGCTCGTAGCCCCGCGCCGCGCGGCTCCACTGGGCGCCTCCGATCTGGCTGCCGTCAAGGGTGAAGGTGTCGCCGCCACGGGAGGGCTTCCAGCCGAAGCCGTCCTTTGCGAATCTGCATTTGCCGCCCTCTTTGGAGAGGTCGAGGTAGATGTTGTCGAAGCTCTCGCTGGAAGTAAAACGAACTTGTGGTTAGCTTGGAACTTGCTGAAGAGATGGAAACACTTTGAGGGGATGGAAATTGGGGGAAGGCGGGGGAGGCGGGGGAGGGCTGGTGCTGGAAGAGTCGAACGGTCGAGATGTGCTGGCATGCCGGAGCTCACATGTAGCGGGGAACAAACTCACATCGACATGGTTGGAAGCTGGAAAGAGCTCAACTCCTAGGATAAAATACTGAAGGAAAAATCCAGCTAAATAATTTGTTGACTGGTAGCTGGTGATTGTGAAGAAGAGGCGATGGATTGAGGATGTAGTGCGGAGAGGTGAGGTTGGGGATGCGATGAAGCAGAGGTAAGGTTAAGGTCAAGGCAGAAAGTTACTAGGCTATTAAAATTTCGCGATTGGGACGTTGGAACCGCGTCTGTTCGTTCGAGAGGCAAAGAAATGTTCAAGGTCAGGTACCAAGGTACAATTTGTGGTACACGAGTATAAAGGTACCTGTGACGAGCTAAAATCTTGCACACAAAAATAGCAGTGGGGTTAATATGCTTATTAAATTAGCGAGTATGCAGCTAAGAGAGGTGCTGCAATGAGGTTGGTGATTGCATCCTCTGTGGCAGGTAGAGAAGTTGAACTTATATATACTTCCGTCAACCTTGAAAACTCCTGTTCAATGGTGGAATAATGGTAATATTATATCGATAGTATAGTATAATACACTCACTTCTTGCTTGAGAAGGAAGGGTAACTCCCAGTTACATCTCATCTCAATCCACCTCATGCTCCAACCCAGCTTCCTCCGCCTTCCTATCCGCCACTCCACACAAATACTCCCACTCCTCCTTACCAACTTTACTCACGCTAAGCCTCGACTGCTTGATCATCTGCATCGCCTCCAGCGGCTTCCCGGCCTGACCCATCTCCTTTAGCTCCTTGAGCGTGATAGGTACGGCGAACTTCTTGACGAATTTGACGTGGACGAGGCCCCATTTGTTCTTGTCCTTGGTGGCGGATGGGTCGTAGTATGGTGTTCCCGGACGTCGGGCGCTCTCTAAACCGGGACGTAAGAAAACCGCCATAGAGGAAAAGCAGGGAAGAGAGCCACGCCGGTAAAGACTTACTGTCTTCAGAGTATTCCTTGACTATCTCCATGATGCCAACGATACCGGGCTCCTTGCAGTTCGAGTGGTAGAAGAAGGACTTGTCGCCGGCATTCATGGCTCGCATGTTATTCCTAGCTGTAGAGATGGTAGGATGTCAGTCAGCGCGTCGATCTCCCAAAGATACGGGTAAGCCGTGATCAGAGGAACGACATCATACCACCGTAGTTGCGAATTCCTATTTTCCAACGTCAGTAAATCCGGAACAATAAGAACGGAGGCCAAGTAAAGACGAAGAAACCCACCATCCCAAGGCTCCGGCTTCTCCCTCGCCCTCAAATCATCAATCGAAAACCTCACATCAATCCCATTCTCAAACCTCGACTCCGGCTCCGCCTTCATCAGCCAATACCACTCTCCCTCGTGGCGCTCCACCTCCGAGTTCCGCGTCGGCAACGAATCCGGATCCGGATCCTCTGACACTGCTCTGCCCGACGCTTCACCACGGCCGGCGCCGCTCTCCCCACTCGGTTTCGCACCCTTTGCCTTCGCAGGCTTCGCCTTCTTGGAGTCTTCTTCGTCAGCGTCCTTGGCTTTGCCCGCCTGCTTCACCGCCGACGCGTTGGCCTTCCCCATCTTCCTTTTCTCCTTGACGCGTCGCGCCTGTGGCTCCTCCCGCTCTACTTCGGCGTCGCTATCATCCACTTTTCCCTCCTTCTGCTGCTTCTTCCCCTTGCGCGCGCTTGCTACTTTCGCCGCGCCAGATTCCTTGGGCACAGGCTCCGAGGGCTGTTGTTGCTGCGCAGCAGCCTGACGCGCCGACCGGCGCTTGGCGACGGGCGCGGTGGAGGGAGGCTCGGCTTGCCTTTTCCGAGGAGGCATATTCAAAATCAGATATATTTCAGGTCAATTGGGTCGAGTGGTGGGGGAAAAAATGAGATATTCTCCCGGTGATGAAGTGGAAGTTGAGGTTTTGAGGTCTTTGGGGAGGGGTGTGGGATGTCAATGGTGGGGGTGCGGATAACGATGAGGGTGGAAAATGCGAAGGGCTGAAGGGTCTACGACTTTGAATTGCTGGGATCGTCAATTCAACCACCCTCTTCACCACTGATCACTCGCTATGCGGGACGGATCAACTTACCGATGCTCCCAACAACACCTCTAAAGAGCGGTCGCATAATAACAGTTTCTTTTCGTTAGGACTGGACATCACCATTAGAAACAGTGGCTTTCGAGGTTGCAGACGAGGAACACAGCACCACAGAGTCCGAAGACAGTAAATCGCTTCATCACGGCATCTCATATTTTTTTTATGTTACCTGTCCATGGCTCACGTCTAAATCCCTCCCGACAACACATGCCTACTGCTTCAAAATAGCAACCAATTCCTTCACAATCGCATCACCCATCTCCTTCGTCCCCGCCGCACCACCAAGATCCTTCGTCCTAACACCCCCATCAATGGCCGTCTTCACCGCCTCCTCAACAGCATCCGCCTCCTTGGAAAGGTTAAGCGAATACCTCAACAACATGGCGACCGAAAGGATGGTGCCGACGGGGTTCACGACGCCCTTACCCGAGATGTCAGGCGCCGAACCGTGGATGGGCTCGTAGATGCCGTTGCACTTGGACTTTCCGTCGGGAATGCCGCTCAAGCTCGCGCTGGGGAGCAAGCCAATGCTACCGGGGATAACGCTCGCCTCGTCGCTAATAATGTCTCCGAACAGGTTACTCGTCACGACGACACCGTTCAAGCCGCGGGGGTTCTTGACGAGAATCATAGCCGCGCTGTCAATAAGCTGATGCTGCAACTTCAACTGCGGGAACTCCTTCTCAAAAACCTCCGTAATCACTTTCCTCCACAACCTACTCGTCGCCAAAACATTCGCCTTGTCAAGACTCCAAACGGTGTCATCTCCCCTCTTGAGGGCAAGGAACCCCGCAAGGCGCGCCACGCGCTCAACCTCCTCGCGCGAGTAGGGCTCCGTATCCCACGCCTTGCCGTCGCCGTCGTCCTCCTTGCGCTCGCCGAAGTAGATGCCACCCGTGAGCTCGCGCACGATGACGAAGTCGGTGCCGCGGCACACGTCGGCCTTGAGCGGGGAGAAGTCGACGAGGGTCTCGGAGGCAAAGGAGCACGGGCGTAGGTTGCCGTAGGTCCCCATCTCCTTGCGGATGCGCAGGATGCCCTGCTCGGGGCGGATCGTGCCCGTGCCCCATTCGGGACCGCCGATGGCGCCTAGGAGGACGGCGTCGGCGGCTTTGGCGGCGGAGAGGGCTTCTTCGGTGAGGGGGGTGCCGTGGGCATTGATGGAGCACTTGTCGAGGGAGATGGATGGTTAGCTGGAAAACAAGGACTTTAAGAGCTGTGTGGGATAGATCCGAGTTAACTCACGCCACCCATCAAATGCTCTTGGATGTTAAAGGTGCCGGAGGAGGGGCTATTCGCCTCGATGGCCTTGAGGATCTATGCCGGTCATATCTGTTAGTTCGCTTGTTGGTTTGGCCATTGTTTTCCGTCGCGGTCGACATTGGGTAGTTTCGGGTTGCGGAGGCGAGGGAGAATTGGATGATGAGGTGGGGGAATATCACACCTTGACACCCTCGGCAACGACCTAGAACCGCAAGGACACCCGATGTTAGCAATCACCTCCTCCTTTCTCTCAGGGAAACTTCTTGACCTCGATTGGCGAGATGGCGAGGAGATCGAGGCCTTGAGTAGCAGCAGTAGAAGCATACCTCAGGACCGCAATGGTCTCCTCCGAAAACAACTATGTTGTGCTGCACCATGGTCGATGTCCCGATAAATACTAGAGCTTCAAGAATGTCGAATTGGAGGGATTGGTGATACACGGAGATCCTAGTTCCCCACGAAAATTAAAAAATAAAAAGGGTTAATTCGATCGAGAAGAAGAATACAGAAGAGAGTTTGGGTAGAGAAAGTGCAGCTATCAGCAAGAACCCTTGAAAAAAGCATCCTTTTAGGTCTTCCTCCATCCAACCGTCATTTCCAATTGCTTGCCCCTCATTCACCCATTGCTGCTTCCGTCTACCCCGCCAGGTCCGATCTCGGATCGGTGGCGGAGGGAAGGAGCGACAGGTCTAGCTACTTGTGACTTAGAACCTGTAGTGGATAGTGGATACCTATCAAATTGCTTCAAATTGCTTCGAATTGCTTGCCTTGACGGGGTCTGGAATCTGAACGTCCAAGTTTGGGTGAGAATCAGGTGTAAAACATGCGACAGATGCTGGACGTTTCCGAGAGCAACGGAACGAGTAGGCTTCGGATTGTTGGTCCGAATAGGAAATGCCCACTCGAGTTTAAAGGGGTTTCCTCTCGGTGAGCTTGTCAAACATGCCATCCGACTAAATCGAGCCGTGTAACCCGACTCGAATATTGAAGCCAGCCAAGAGCCGCAGCAATTTACTTTCCCGAAGCCAGGCTGATTCCGAGGTCTCAAGCACCTACCGACGGCCCGGGATGAGAAACGACATTAAAACCACACCACCTCCGCATCTTTCCCTGCCGTGCAGCAAGGGAACTGCTTCGAGAAATGCTACCTTCCACTGCACTCCTATTCGCTTTAATTATACATAGTGCTGCAGTTGCCTTATCAGATTGGGATCATTCGCGACAAAATATGTGATATCATCCTCCTTATGGCTAACTCACCCGCTTCGTGTCTGTGAGCATAAGATTAAGTAGGATGAGTGGGGAATTCATTCCATCCCTCATCCTAGCCTCGCGCCCTACTTCCTAAGAGTATCGTAGAGAAGATGAAGACCCATCATAGACATTCCCCTAAAACACATCGATGACGTTGTAGACATGACCATCCTCACCTCAAAATCCCCATCACATCATATCAATTGGGGAGAAGGGGAAAAAGTTTGGACTATCAGCCTGAAACACCACTGTCTCCTTGAACATGACATCACCACTCAAAAGAAAGTATGAAAAATGAAAAAAAAGAACAATAAATGCACAAAACCCACTTCAATATTCCTTCCTATGCTATACATGCTCGCGCAATGCCACCACCATCCAGCAGTACCAAGAACAGGAAAAGGCCAAAAAAAAAACACAAATCCACGTTTCTTACCCGCACGCCTTTCTTTTTGCCTTTAGTTCGCCATGATTATTTCCCCCAGTGGTCCACATATTCATGAGAGGGAAAGCCATCAGCCGTCATGAGAGAGAGAGAGCCAAAGAGACGGAATGGAAAGCAGGAACTAGAAAAATAAACACCAAATATTTCATAAACCTCATAAGCCATTAATCAAAAACAAAGGGGGACAAGGCAAAGCCCGTTTCACCGAAACGACTTAAACGACTTATGCGCCAAAGGCGAGGTCCCGTGTCCGTGATGACCAAGTCCGCCCCCGGGCGGCAATCCGCTTCCCAAGCTCACGCCCCGAGTGCTGCCACCCGTGTCGCGCATCCTCCCACCTCTCATGTTGGGCGTGTTGGCGCAAAAGGCGCAGATATATACAGGGGGCATCTCGCGCCTTGTAATGTTGATGCACCTGCCGTGGAGCCACATCTCGCAAGCCTCGCTGTTATTTGTCAGTAACCACGAGTGACAGGAGTTGAGGGAGAGTAGAAGGGGGGAAAACAAGAAGAGATGTGAAGAAAGAGAGTATAAACCCACCACTGGACCATAAAAGTATCCGCTACCCCGCCATGATCGTTCCGATGGCAAATACACCGAATCCCAAACCTCCTACCCCCCGTCGACGGCGTCGGCATCGCCCTCCCCTCCATCACTCCCAACGGCGAAACCACGTTAGCCCGTCCCCACTCGAATCCGCCAACCCCGGAGCCCGTTGAAGCGAACCTCTGCTGCGCCCTCTTGCTCGCCCTGTCCTCTACCACTTTCCTCAGCTCACTCGCGGCATCACCACCACCACCCCTAGGTCCGCTCTCGCGGTCCGAGCGGTCGTCCACGACGGTCTCGGCCTCGCTCTCGTCGTCGCCGGGCGATATAGCGCGGCCGTCAAAGGAGAAACTCGCACGCACGTGGGGGCTCTTCCTATTCTTCTTCCTACTACTACTGGAGGAAGAGGAGGAACTGAATATGGAACCAACGGGTTTGCATGGATCTGGGAGGGCGAAGGAGGAGTTACGGCTGGGGATGATGATGGGTTCATCGTCGGTGGCGGAGTCCTCCGAGTCGGACGGGAGGAGACTGCGGTCTCTCCTGCCCGTCATTGTCGTCCTCCGGAGGGGGGCGGGTTCGTCGACGACGAGGGTCGTCTCGGCGTGAGCTCGGCCACGGGCGTCAATGGTGAACTTGACCGAGGTGCGGGTGCGCGGGGGTGGTCCACGGGATTCAGGAATAGAGGATAGGCTAGTGAGGCGATGATGAAGTTTCATCGGGGAGATGCGGCCGGATTGCCGAGAGCTCGACGAAGGGCGGCTGGAGGAAGAAATGCCCGATCCGTTCGCTTGCATCGTCTGCGAGGAGGAAGAAGAACGCATGGCGGCAGGCGCTAGGGTGGGTAACTGTCTCTTGCCCCTGTTCTCACTGAAGCTCCGTTGCAGGCCGGCTCGGGGATTCGAAGGCTTGATTGGGGAGCTAGCGGGCTCGCGCCGTCCACGCCTAGCCGGCTCTTTGTAGCTGAAGGACCGTTGCAGCCCATCGGGTCCCGCAGAGGCTGGCGCCACAGGGGCCGCATCGGCAAGCGTAGGCGCCGACGACTCGGGTTGGCTGACGGGATTAAAAGGGTTCGCAGTAGTGTCCATGCTCGATGACGGCGGCCTACTGTAAAGAAGGCCCGGGTTGACGGCGCCACTAGGGCTCAAGGCGAAGGGATTCTCGACAGCAGCGGCAGTAGTGGTGGTAGTGTAAGCGCCGACCATCTCGCTCGTGACCGGCTCCTGGACACCGGACGTGCTTGGCTTAGGCGCCAACGGCCGGTCCTTCTTAGCCGGGGGTTGGACGTTCTCCTGGTTGGACGATTGGGGTACCCCGTTCGCATTTGCGTTCATGGAAGCATGCGCCGTCGGATCTTGGAAGAGCGCAGAGTTGGAATTCCAATCATAGGTCTCTAACCCACGATGCGCCGGCGCAGGTGTCTGAAAAAGAATACCCGACGCCGCAGCCTGCGCGGCAAAGTCTAAATCCATCGCTGACATGGACACCGAAGGATCCCAAAAGGCAGCGGGAGCGCCGGCGGGCGCCGACATGGGATAGCCGAATATATCATGCTGCGAGGCGGTAAAAGCCGTCATGTCGCCATGGGGAGCCGTCGCCGCCACCCCGAGGAAATCTTGCTGGCCGTAGCCCTGGTCATCCTGCATACTGGTCGCCGCGTTGTCTGCGGCAAGCTTCCGGTCCGCCTTGCGGGCAGAAGGCGGAGGCGTTGCGGTCTGAGTGGGCTGCTGCTGCTGCTGTTGCAGTTGGGAGGCGGAGTTGGGCCCTGGTATTGATATGGTTCCCCTCCGGGCCTTCTTGCGGGCTCGTTCCTGGTTACTTTGTTGCTGGGAGTTTTCGTCGGGTTCGGCAGACCAATCACGAGATATACTGTTCAGAGGTAAGGGCGACGAGGGTAAGCGGAGCGAGGGGTCGACGGTTGGTAGGATTGGGCTCGGAGAGAAGTGCGTGACATGGGACGCAATGTGGGCAGCGATCTCACCGGCGGAAAGCGGGCGGTTCAATAGAATGGACGGGATTCGAGGACGAGTGATGCCTTTGGCGTTGCTGGTGGCGGCTGCGATTGCGGCGGTTGCGGACAGAGTGGCTGTCGGTGTGGTTGCGGTGTTGGTGAGGTTGGTGATGTTGGTATTATTGATACTACTGCCGACGTTGCTACTAGTACTAGAACTGCCGGTGCTAATTGGCGTGTTGGCGGTGTAGCGACGGTGAGCGGCGTCGAGATTTCCCGGTGTGGAATTGAAGACGGAAATATCTTCGGCGAAACGAGGTGTTTGAGCCCAGGAAGCCGAGGGGTCGTCAAATCGAGGTTTCTGGAGATGGTTGGGAGTTTCAAAACTCGGACTAGGAAAAGCGATGGAAGTTGGAGTTTGTCGAGGAGTGGACGACTGAGCGTTTGGATCTCCAAAGCTGAATGAAAGGAAGGGGAGGGGACCAAGCGTTAGCAGGATGTTAGCCGAGACAGGACGGGATTTCCCAGGCAGAAGACCGGGAACTACCAAGTATGACTGAGCAGGACTGAATGGCGAATGGATAGGTAGGAAAAGGCGGGTGAGCAAGGACACACCAACCGGGGCAAAAAAAAGTGAGTGGAGGAGAGGGCGAGAGAATAGACAATTGGAAGGTGTGGTGAGTGCGTGAGTGCAGGTGTGGTGCAGAAGCAGGAGCAGGCAGGCAAGAGGGATGAGAAAGGTACTTTGTACATTCGACGGTCAGATAAGCCGGGGTAATTTTGGTGGGTGACTTGGAGGGGGTTCTGGTACAGGTACAAGTACAAACGACCAAGAGAGAGGCCAGAAGAGGACTGGACCAGACCACACCGGGATTGGGATTGGAACTGCAACCTTGGGATTGTGACAGGGACTGGGACTGGAGTGGTAGGGATTGGCGGGTCCGGACGGACTGTTGCATTCACAGCCAACCTTGAGCCTCGAGTGTAGTGCTTACTTCAATGGTACCAATGTCCTGTGCTGTTGCGAGACGAAAGGGATCGATCTCGAGGCAAGCTGAAGTGGAATCGACTGGAGGACGGTGTTCGGGCAGAAAATGATGCCTTGATGGATTTGGAAGAGCACAAAAAAAAAAAAAGGAAGAGGGACCGGAGATGACTGGGGAAAGGGAACGGATATTCCAAGAAAAGAAAAGAAGGGACATTTGAAAGAAAAAAAATAAAATATCAAAATCAACTAACCTGGTCGCCGGTTGATCCCCACTCATAGCAACTCCAGTTGTGAACTCTCATAACCTGGCGAGAATATGACTGCACCCTAGCTCTGCACAACTACTAGACCCAAGCTTGAGCACTGCAACTGAGCTCTTCTTATCTCCTTCGAGCGGTCCACAAGGCAGAACAGGTCCTGTAGCAACGGGAAGAAATAAGAGAAACAAAAACCAAACAGGCTTTCGATAATGCTGCTTGGCGCTGTTTATGTTTTCCTCTTTTCCTCTTCTGGTATTTTTCGTTGGATTTATTCCCGCCTGGCTTCGTCGTTCGTCCCGTCTCCCGTCTCTTGCTCGAATTGGGATGGCTTTTTTGCACGGTTCGATATTCTCCAATCGGTCTAACCTCTCTAATGTATGTAAAACGGAATCCCCAAGATCGTTCGTTTGACCCGCGGAAATCGAACGAAAGAAAGTGTCGCTTCGCCGACGGGCTTCGGAAACAAGTAGGGACAGAAAGAAAAAGAATAATAATAAAAATTATTATGGCGAGGGCGTGGTGATTATGGAAATGCTGGGGAGCGAATATTCTTTCCTAAGGAAACCGTTCGTTCGGCTCGTTGCGTGAAAGCTCTTCTTCTCTGAAGTTGATCGTATATCCTTTGCAGGTTTCGGTCTGTATCGTATTATAAGATGATGTCGTCGACGTTGATCATTAAGAGTTAAGTAGGTCGTAGCAAGTTTGGAGACGTCGCAACGTAACAAGTAATATGGACGAGATAGATATTAAAGAGGGGGAAAAATATAAAGGAGAAAGAGAACAAGAAATGAGAAAGACAAATATTATTAAAACGAGGAAATACGTTCAGTAAACCAAGGAGAGAGAACGAAACAATAAACTTCAAATCGTTAATACGTCTTATGATAGTGCAATCGTAACTAGGAGAGAAGAAGCGAGGTTGGAAAAGAGACCATCAGAGACATCAGATGGAGGGCATTGCCTGAGTTTTGTCTCTCCCCTTTCCTTCAAAACGGAAGAGTGACGAGAGTGACAAGTCAGGGTCTCTTGCTGGCAGCTCATCGAGAGACCAGCTCGGCGAAAGAATGTCGGGCCAGGGGGGAGACGACCCATATCGGAGACTAAGACAATGGAGCCGACTGAGTGAGATGCCTCAATAGGTCAGTCAAGAAGCATATAGTACAAGGGGAGTATAAAGTCACAGACGCAGATGTACGGGGAACGGGGAAAAAACCTGGCCGTGAAGCATAAACGTTCCCAAGATGTGAAATACGGCGCTACCAAGTAAACCACTAAGTGGGCCAGGAATGTACAACACAGAGCAACATTGCAAAGGAAGGGGGAAAAGCATCTTAACATGAACATGGGCTAACATGGCCCGGCTTCTCGATCTCTAACGGAAAACCGGTGCCATCGAACCTGCATAAATCGTAGTGGTACCTGACAGCAGCGCCCACGCCTTTCCTGCATCTCCAGGGGCCAAGCTTACCACTCCAAGTATGGAACGCTGCAGTGGCTGGCTAGGATAGGCCTCAGTCCGCCAACCCAATGTCGTAAACGTCAAGAGAACTAAATGAGCAAAAACGTCCTTCCGGTCTTTAGTGTTACGCCGGTGGGAAACACGAGGGGAGGGGAGATGCACTTGACCTCTTCGGAAGCCGGGGGCGGCAGAGGCACGCAGCTCAGCCAATGGGCAACCAAAGATGCAGCTTAACGGAAACATCAATCAAGTGTTCTCAGACGGCGGTGTTAGTCGGTGTGGAAGGAGGGGGGGCATTAAGTGGGCAGAAGCGACATTTCTGGACCCAAGGTTTCTTGGTCTTGTCCTGGTTGTAGATCATGGGAGAGCGGAGAGACTAATCCTCAGAATAGCTGGAGGCTAGAGAGAGCTATAAAAGGGGGCGGGACAATCAGGAAGAGCAGTGGTTAGAGCAGAGGCTATTATTAACGGCAACTCCTTGGGATCTGAGAAGAAGCAATAAATCAGTATCGTTTGGAGATAACGTTACGAGGAACAGCTCGTTGAGCAGGATTAAACGGATTGGGTGAATTGAATTGATGGACTCGGCTCTGTGTTGAGGACCAGTCAAGCTCAGAGCCGACCACAGCTGGCACCTTGTGGCTATGCTACGCTGCGGAAACCCTGTAAATCGTGACATTTTCATTAAGAATAGGGGGATTTTTTCAGCGAAACCCACTAACTGGCGGTGCTGGTTGGCCGAAGGACCTGCTAATTAATGGACGGCTTCTGCAGGCTGCACCCGCGGTGGGGAAGCTGACACGATAGTTACGCTGACCTTGAAAGGGCCTGAGCCATTGATTCAGGATGATGGTCAAAATGTACCCGATACGTCAACAGTCGACCAATGTCAAATGCCCTCAGCTTGTCCCCATGGCAAGAAGCAGAACCAACCAGTAACAAGAGTCAAAAGACCTCCATCGATCGATCGAGTTCACTTCGATCGGGAGAGCCGCAAAGGAACAACCAATGGCAAAAAGGAGGAGCAAACATAAGGGTATTGCTTCCATCGAGCGTACTTCAATAATTCTCGGCTTTTGGCCAGCACAGGCCTCAACATCGCTCCTCGGTTGGCGACTGCAAATGAGCAGAGCACTAGGACTGGGCATCAATCATCAATTAGTAAATGAGTGGAGCCCGGTTCTCTCTGATTTGGGTCCTTCTGCTGGCATTTCCAACTTCAGGTCAGCGCCCAGACATTGTCTCCGCCTGGTTCCAACGACGACGTCAATACGACCTCTGGACTTTTGTTGTGCCCCGTTTACTGCCCGCCTACTTCGTAACTGGAGAAAAGGATCTTGATCTTAATACTCCAAAGAGACTTGCGGCAAGATACTTTAGCAGCCAAGGGTCAGGCCGAGCGCTTGACGGTTGCGTCAGGTCAGTAACCGGTAATAATGGCCCTGTCTTCTCCGGGTCCCGGTCGAAATTCGTCACAGCGCACTGAAAAGGCGGAGATTATAGTCTGGGTGCATGTGGGCTTTTGCCTGCAGTGGTATGGCACCGACGGTCCAACTGCCTGACTGGCAATAAGGCAATGCAGGTACAGTACCTGGGGGCAGAGATCACCAGAACCCAATCTCGGCCTTCAAAATTCACCATCAACCATTACCTGGCACGATCCCGTCTGATAGCTTAGTCGGTTAATTCGAATGAGATTTACAACTTGGGAATGTCGTAGCTGTGGTCTCGTGAGTTGCAGTAATCCGATCTCGAGGCAAAGGGCATTTAAATTGATGTAATTATCCGATCAGTGCTCATCAATTGATGGATCAAATGTTCCCAGGATATGTTGATTCATTCAATTAGTGGTTAATTAGGTATCAATTGATTGATTGATTGTTTGTCTTACGAGGGGTGATCACGAGTCAAAGATTGTCTAAGCTCTTAATAGTAGGCAATAGTGAGTCCCAGGTACAAAAGTAGTGTACAAGAATCTCAGACATCGAGGAACAAGATCTCGGGTTCCTTTCAACTCGGTAGTCGACCGTTCAGCACCACTGCAATATCCAGACAAGTCTCAATCTGACCAAAGTGGCATCTTCTCAGTTACTCATGCACGAACCCGACCTCTCGGCTCACTTCTCCCTCTCCCTCTCATCCAAAAAAAAAACTGAGACAGACAGACCACAACCTCGCCTTGCAGAACTTGGCTGCATGGAGCCCTGTAGGGATCGGGGCGCCGTCCCACAATTCGATTGGCGGCGAGCCGCTCTCGGTGCGACGATTCCGTTAGTGTCTAGCGCAAGCCCAAGTACGAAACAGCCATGCTGTGCGAGCATGCGAGGGGCCAAGCATTATTCTGAGATAGCTTACTCTTCAAACATGAATCCTTTGTACACCACATTAACCGGAGAATTATGAACAGAGAATAATGTCATAGCACCGTCGAAGAGTCGGAGAACGTGGGACAGTAGTGTGGTTTTAGCATGGCCCTCAGCTGCTTCGTCTGTGGAGAGACCTAACCCAAAGGCCTTTAGCATCAAGCCGGGCGAGTTGAACGCCACTTGCTAGGCCGGCCAGCCATGACATAAGTGAGGGATTCAATGTTCGACTTTAAATGGTAATGTCTCTTGTGTCTCTTTGTCTTTTTGTCTTTTGGTCTTTTTGTCTCTTCTATCCAGGAACAAGAAACAGTCGCTCCACTCTAGGGCCGAAGCTAACAGTCTTAGAAACAGCTTTAGATCTCGTTCCTGTGGGACAGTATCCGACCTCTCCGTCTGCTGCCCTGCCACTTCGTATGATGAAAGAATGAATGTTGCTCCTTTGTCGATGCAGGTACGTTCATATGTTCAACCCAAGGACGAACAAACAGCAAAGACGCCGAGGTGCCAAGACAGAGAGTGTCATCACACCAGTCCATGGCAAGGGTGGTCCCCCCACACTCTCGAATCTTTACGAATGGTGGAGCGTCCTTGGCACTCTACGCTAAATCCTCCAAGCCAAGTCCGAGAATAGGTCGAATTACGCTCGGTGGGGATCTCTGATTCAACCTCAACATAATCCGCTAGATCGAAAAAGGGGAAGATGGCTTCAACCGCTGCAAGACGTAACGAGCCCACAAGCAACTCCGCCGTTTCTGATATCCATGAATCCACTTCTGAGAAGAGAGAGGGAAAAAAAAAAAAAAAAAAAATTGGAACGACTGTAGTGTAGCAACATATTAAATTAGACATATGCCCAAGGTGGGTTCGCAGGAGAAAAATATCCAAAGAGCTTGGGAGAGGAGAAGCTCCTTCGATCTCTCCAGACTCGGCTTCCCGACATCAGACGTCAGCTGTCAAGCTTCCAAATCTCCTCTATCAACCCACCAAGGGTTTCATATAATTGTGTATCTCCCCTATCTCCCCCAATCCTATGCCACAACGCACAATCTACCTGTCTTAGACACATTATGATATCGATAACCCACATCTGTCAAGGATCACTCGCAAAGCCGCGATGCAGGTCCGCCCCTCATCCCCCCTCTCTTCTTGTGCCACGTCAGTCACGTAATTTTGTTCAGGTACGATCGACCCCGGAGCAAAAGCCCAGAAGTATCCAACGGTAGGGCTACTCATCGGTGGTCCCTTTTTTCCATAAAAAGCTCTTCCCCAAAACGGGGGCGGTATTACGTCGGTTATCCTGCGTCGATCCCCTTTTTGGTTCCTGCAGCCAGAACAATTTGGGTGCTGCGACTGTCCCCGTGCAGGTGCAGCTTTGCAGCTCGGGGATCTCTCTCCTCTCCTCCCGAGCAGCGCATTGGCTGTCCCCCCTGGTAGTGGTGAGATGAAGTTGGGCAGCCACGCAGCAAAAACAAAGCTATTTCCAGCGATCTTACATGGTGGAGAGAACATGTTCCTCAACTCGACTAATCTTGCAGCCGAGTGTTTTTTTTCTTCCCTCTCTTTTATCTGCCTGCCGTCATCTGTACTTCGTATGTTGGAGCTGCGGATATGCAGCTGGAAAGGATCGGTCTCAGGTGGCACGATGCCGGGCCCGGCGAAGATTGAAGATGCTTGGGAACTCTGCTCTTGTCGAAGGGGAGCTGTAGGGAGCCAATCCCTCTTTTTCTTTTCTCTTTTTACTTTTCCCTCTCCGCGCACTTTCTTTCGCCAAGTCCAAGTGAGAATACGAAGTAGCATAGTAAGATTCTTGGACCGTATTGTACCAAGTATTCCTCCGAACAAAGAGGAACGTCCATCGCTGCGAAGTTCGAAGCGCCCGAAAAAAAGACGGAAGACCTTCGTCTGCCAATATCGCTTGGAGTTATAATAGGGTGAAACGTATTGAAGGGATAACCTTGATTCCGCCAGCCCGGACAACTCCCACATTCGAGGTTAGAGATGGAGAAGGCCCCTTTGGGGAAATCATTCCGCCCTCCGGCTCACACTCTCTTCCCTTTTCCGTCCACACTCAGACCCCAAAAAATACTAGAGAGAACGAATAAGTCGAGCGAGCGAGAAGAATCGAGGAGGGAAAAAAAAAATAAAATAAAATAAAAAAAAAAAAATAAAAAAAAGAAAAGAAAAATAAAAAAAAGTACAAGGCAGCAAGAAACCAAAGGTCCAAAGCGGCAGCTCTGGCCTCCGAACCAAGGGAACAATGACAAACCCAGGGAAATGCTACGGTACCTTGCATTCGAGATATTTAATCAACGTCAGCCTGCAAGGAGGGTGGCAATCTAAACAATAGCGTATGCACATATGATGCTCTCACTGCAGTTTGGTGGCGGGCTGTACGCTGCAAGGTAGAGCTTGAAGCTTGGGGTTGTTGGACATGCGAAAGGGCTATTTTAAGGAGGTTTTCCTGCCATGGCCGGCCGTTCCTTCGCGGACGAAATCGCATGGAACCTCTTTGGGGTTATAACATGCGAGGTTCGGCGTTTGAAATTCGACGTTCTCGTCCAGAGCCTACGAAGTACAAGGGAGAGAAGAACTCAGGTTGTCCTTATCTCGACGTTCTGTACTCCGTAATACCATCTGCGGATGTCAGGAGATGGACCCTTCAAGCGTATCAGACAATCATCGCAGCCATCGCCTCGACCGACTTGATTGGGTCTTCGAGAGAACGGAGTGAGTGAGGCAGTGAGGCAGTGAAATAAGAACAAAGGGCCATCGACCGATCAACTTCCAATTGGCCCTCAATCCAGCAAAGAGTCCAACTCCATCGATTGGTTCCCCCATCATGATGGCGTTAAAGTGCTTGCATGTATGCCGAGCCCCCGACCCAACAGGTCGCTGATTCGGCCGCCCCCAAAACGAGCAAACATTCCATGATGCTATTATCCTTGTTCGGGAAAGACCAATTGGGAGAGGATGGGATATCCGTGATGTATATCCGTGATGTCGGTGCACTTCTCGGGATGGCGTGCTGTGTATCTGGCGATGCGAGGAGCTGGAGGCCGAACGAGCCCCTTTGATTCGGCAATGAACATCCCTTCAATTTCGAGATCAATTGATTAATCAATGCAATGCCCGGTTCTCGGGGCTTACAAGATCTCGTGGATGTTAAAAGGAAGACTTCAGACGTCTAATATACGGAGTTACAGAGTCCATAAACCTCCACTGAATCTTCATCCTTGGGCAGACCTCGTGCTTAGAGGCTCCATCGAGCGAACACAGACCGGCGGAAATCATCCATCGATCTCTGCATCTTCACAATCGCCATTGCCGAGCATCTGAGCTCAAAAGCTCCAAGTAATGGCAGCAAATATAACAATAAATAAATAAATAAATAAATAAATAAATAAATAATAATAATAAAGAAAATAAATCCAACCGCCAAATCGATCCCAAGCACAGAAGACCCTCTGCGCATGATCCCACGAAATTACCACCCCCCAAAAAAGCAACCCATCTTCCACAACGACGTCGTCGTCAGTCCGTCACCAAGACGCACAGATTATCATAATCAATAATATTATAGAAATATTATTGTTCTCCTGCCGGCCTGCCTAAGCGGGGGTGCGAAAAGCAACACTTTCTGCACCTCCGTCCACATTCAAACATTCAAACTAACCCTCGCCAAGAGAAACCGGGATCTCGACCAGGGCAAGCAGGTAAAATAGATGTGAGAGACTAGAAGCGGAAAGCAGCCACACGCCACAAGGAATCTCGCGACATCAAAAACGGCATTGTCATCGCTCTTTCGGCAACGCAGGGGGGACATATCTCGCTTCCGCTCTCCGAGGCACGGATTGTAATTTACGTACCAAGTAGATACCCTGCGCACACAAGTGTTAGTCTTGATGATGAAGAGCAACACCTCTCTCTGTCCATGCCCACTCCTTTCCCCCCACCCCTGCCCTGCCCTTCCCGTCCCCCTCTTGAGGCATGCACGTTCCAAGAAGCGGAATTGTTCCCTCCCACTTGGCGAGATGATGCTTCTTGGCCAGCTGGGACCTCAATGTTAAAAGACATCTGCCGCGGAGGAGAAAGCCCCTCAATGCCTCTCACTCAGCTCGTATCCCGATCTATTTGAATCCCTTCATGCCATGAACTCAAGCGAAAGAAGCCAAGATTTCGCCCTCTAGCGACTTCCCCTTCCTTCCATCTCGCCTCCCTCTTACCTGCATCGCATCGCTTCGAGCTCTCCGCTCCCCGGAGGCAGACACCTCCCAACCCACGCCTCTCTCAGCCGCATCAACCTCACCTCCCACCCCCCAAAACTCTAGAAAAACGAAGGAAACGGCCTCAAAACCACTCTCGTGAAACGCCCTCCCATCTACCCATTCCCCCCCACGATGCACAAACCAGGTTCATCCCAGCTCCATCATCTTCGTTCAGTTCCGAGTGTATACCCTGTAGCAATGGGCCAAAATGTATCTTTGAAAACTGCATAGACGACAGGGCTCAGAGCAGCGGTCCTCAAGAGCCCAAGAAAAGGCACCCAAATGTGCCTTATTTGACCACCAAGTCGTCCGAGTTCCACACCTTCGCCTACGCATCATACTTCGTAGAACTCCGGATATCTGCTCATCTCCCCAAAGCACCCCCCTTGGCCATCCCTTCGAGCTTCTCACGATTCATTCCGTCCATGAAGCTCCATGCATGATGGCCAGAAACCCCTTCCCGATCCTGACCTCCCGCCGCCCTTACCTCACCATGAAGCACAGTGTTTTCAAAAATCCACTTAATCACAAGGAACAGATCCAGAGAATCTCCATGTTTTTGTAAGTAGAGTCTTAATTAAGAAGAAAAGAAAAAAGTTGGATCGGAAGTGTCTGCAACTCCACCCCATAGTGTATCCTATCAAAGTACCTACTAAAAGCGAAGGGGAACTGAAAGATAAAAAGGTAAAAAAAAAAAAAAAAAAAGAGTCCAATAATGGAGCGGAGGAAGAAGAAGAAGAATATAAACTAGGGAATGAGGGCATGAATAAATAAATCCAAGAATAATAAGGTCCTCCTTTTGAATAGGACTCGTCTAGTCCTCCCAGTGTCCTGTATTAGAATCATTTCGTATGTTTCCGATCCTCATATACCAAGCCGTAGATAGAAAGACGACGACAACCTGCTGGAAACGCTCCTCCTCCTTTCCAGTAACACAAAACAAACACAGATCGTAAGCAAAACCAGTGCGGGTAGTCATCAATATCATGCCTCTGTCTTTCTCCTCCTCTTTCTTTTCTTTCCAAAATATCCCAATAACCTTGGTTTTTCCTCCTTTTCCTCTTTTCATATCAGTGGTATTGGTTCCGGAGCCTCTTCTCTGTGGGCATCGTTATCATCATCATAATCCTCCTCTTGTTCTAACCAACTGAAAGTTACTTTTGCCACCAATTTCCCAACAAGTCCCGTCGTAAATTCCAAAAAGAAGAGAACGAGATAATCCCTTCAAGTGGCCTTGGTTGTAGAGCGTGTAGAAGGAGGTAGCTGAGGGGGTGTATATATATGAAGGGCCGCATGGAGGGACTCGGATGGGTGGGTGGTATATATCATTCGGCAGAACTTGTTTAGACAAAGGAAATAGACATAGAAGGAAATAAGTGTAAATGAAAGATTTCCGATTGTAGTGCTTGAATATCAGAATACTTTGTATTGCTCAAATCATGCCCGGCATTCCACCATCGACGGGGATCATCAAGTGGCTGGTCTGCGGGATCGGCCGCGGGGGAGGAACTAGCTGTAAGTGATGGTGAGGTGGGTGGTGGTGCTGTTGTTGTTGCTGCTGCTGCTGCTGCTGCTGCTGCTGCATATGCTGAAGCGCTAACTGCGGAGTTTGTTGGACCGGGATCTGCATCATCTGGCCTTGAGCTTGCATTGGCATCAAGCCGGCAGACAACGGGTGGACCGGGCCAACGGGAGTTAGTGGTTGAGGAACCTGATGCTGCGGTGTCAATGGAGGCTGTTGCTGTTGCTGTTGCTGCTGTGGTTGCAGTTGTAATTGAAGCTGAGGGGGTGCTTGAGCCTGTTGGGGGGTCAAAGGTGGTTGCTGCGGCTGGCCATCCGCCATCGGCTTGGTGAGGGGAGGCGGAGCGAGAGCCCGGCTGGTGCTCTCCCTACGACGCTTAGGAGCGTCCTTGATCTTGGGATGGGTATGACACTGTGCGTGAGAGGCAAGTTTGGTTAGCAAGGGGAACTACAAACAAATCTCCATAATCATCTGCCGTGATCGACGCCCCTTGCAGGTTGCATTGACCAGGACTTACCTTATATGCATGCCTGAACCAGGTGGTTCCCTTCTTCTTGCTGCTCACCAGCGCAATCCACTCATTGCAGCTGCCACAGAGGCCCTCCCAGACGTCCGGGTTGCCGTCCATCCGTCTCGTTTCTTGGGGCTCCTGGAATGGGCTTCCCGTCGCTGCGCTGATGCCGTGCGTAAAGGACTTGTCATACCAGAATGCCGAATTCTTGAGGACAAGCCACCGCCCGGGCTTGCAGATTCCGCACCAGCCCTCTCGCTTGTTTCCGTGGCCACGGACCCATCGGGGAGTATAGAGATCCCCCTCAAACCGTAATTCTTGCTCATGGGGGACGAGATCGGGATCTGATGGATTCATGTCCTCCGGAGGAGGCGGGATTTGCTCCTCGTGGAGCGATGCGTAGAGGTCCGGAGGGTCAGAGAGATCAGTGTAATGGGCATGGAGCGCATGAGGGTCCGCGTTACTTTGGAGCATGCGGAAGAGACCGTGGGAGAGAAGCGGTGGTGGCGCCTCGAAATGATGGTGGGGCACGTCGGGGTGGAACCCATGTGATGGCAGCTGTGATGGAAGCTGTGAAGGCAGAAGCATACTGTTACGGTGGAATGCCGGCGCCCCGGGCACTCCGGGCATCAAGTAAGGATGCTGTTGCACAGCCTGTAGATTGCCAAAGTTAAGCGGTAGATGATTGCTCGGTATAGTAGGCGATGAGTGCCTTGACGATGCCATCCTTTGATGGCCGGCAAAGATATCGCTTCCGGGGTGGTACACAAACGGAGACGGCCGCCGGTTGGGGCCAGGACCATAGGATCCCGTAGACCAGCGCTTATTCCTCGCAACATCCACGCTGTAAGGTGCTGTCCTAATTCCTGGACGCGGCGACGGAGATGCTCGACCACGGCTGTGCGTCCTTACAAGCTCTGACCTGCCCTGGGGTGTCATGCGAGGAGAGGCGACGGGAGAAAGTTGCGTCGAGGACATGAGCGAGTTTCGGTTGGAGGGTGGCGGGTATTCGGATCCAAAAGAAGGTGCTTCTGAAAGCGCTGCCGAAAAGTCCTCGTATGATGCCATCTCAGAAAGCCCACCAGATGTCGACATAGTGAAAGACGATCCAGACATGCGACGGTTGCTCATGGTATTGTCGAGGCAGAGCGACTCGCCGTCCGGAGGCGGTCCCTGGTACCTCAAGTCGAGAATCGGGATGGCTTCGTCCGTAGTGTATGCCTGCCCTATGTTAATATCGCCGTCGAGATTCTGAAGCTCAAAGTTGTCTTCACAAGGCTTCTGATTCCACGGATCTGCCAATTTTTTTTTTTCAACATTAGCACGGCTAACTGGACAAGTGATGAGGAGTAAAACTCACTTGACCCTATGGTGGTCGGGGTGTAGAACTCTTGGTGCATAGAGACTGGCCGCGAAGACATGGTATCGCTGGGTGTTTGCTGGAGCGATAGAGACGAAGGGGCCCAAGGATTTATACCGCCGTACTCCTCACCCATAGTGTAAGAGAAACCCTCGTGAATCGTGGCTGGCCGGGGCCTCATAGTCTGAGTGGGAGTGGTCCAGATTCCTGCAGGAGCCATCACTTCAGCCTTGACGGGCATATCGCTGTCGTTCATGGTGACGATGGGTGTGGGCTGAGGACCAGGTTCTCTCTTAAATGTATCGTCGGGACTGGAGTTGAACTGCAAGGAAGGCGTCTGTATTTGTTGTTGACTGTGACCCGCCAAGGCGATGTGTAAGTCTTGTCTGCCTGCCGAGAGTATACGATATGCAAGCGCATGGAGTTGTTAACTTACATTGGCGTCTGGCTGGAGTCCATGGTTGATCCTCCCAATGGACTCAAGGAGTGCATGTAAGTGAGATGCGACTTAATCTATCTTGCACCAGATGCTTTACCGACTGCGAGACTTGCAGTTAGCATTGATGGTCGGACGAAGATGATCATGAATAGGGGAAAGGAGAAAGTGCCGGCGACGGCAGTTGCACCATCCCTCTAGAGGGAAGATGCTTGAAGTCGGATGAGCCGGCGGTTAACTACAGGCACGGCATGGTACAGCATCTTGCAGTTCACGGGAGGGAGTTGATCGGGATGAGTGGGGGAGGCTGTGTCTAGGAACCTGAGAAGAAAAAAAAAAAAAAAAAAAAAAAAAAAAAAGAAAAAGAAAGGAAAACGAGAAAAGGTGAAAAAGATAGAAATGAATCACGTAGTACTTGAGGCGAGAAAGGAGTTCGTGATGTAGGAATAGTTCTTGTCGACCAGAGCGGATCGGCTGGGCTGCTGGGCTTTTCGACTTACAAGCAATATCTGGCGCAATGGCCAGGTGCTTGACTGACCGGGTCAAGATATGATTCTTAGAAAAGAAAAAGAGAGCGCGCAATGCGCACGGGTTAATCTCCGAGCAAAAAAAATGAGAGGCGTCCGGTGAAGTCCAGGTCTAAAGAGATGAGCGGAAAGCGAAGCGATATGAGTGAGGTATTCTTCCAGCCAGTATCGATCGAGGGTTTTCAATTGCGGTGACCAGTCTTCCCCGGTTTGTCTTCCGACTTAATTTTGTTCAACGAAGGATTGCGGGCCTCTTGTAGTCGTCCTTCTCCTCAGGGTCTGTCGAAGAGAATAAATTCAAGAAGGCAGAGTGTCCGGTTCGTCGAAGCGGACGAGGTATCGAGGTCGGGAAAGGAGAGTGTGTAATACCAACTCGTTTGGATGTTGATGCGTAGGCAACTTGGCTGGGTCTTATCCGGGAGGGGGAGAAAAGAGAGGGCCAGCTCTTTAGTTATAGGCGTATAGGTCGAGTGGGTATTAACAAGCGGAAGGAAGGCTCGGGATTGGGGTGTTAACAGAAGAATTATAGATCAAAGCTAAGAGGCAGGAGAAAGGAGTGACTAGCAAAGGCAAGACTAGAAGTGGGAAAATGGGCGAAAAGAGGATCGAAAAGAAGGCAAATATGAGGGGTGGTGCAGGACCCTGGGGAGTATAAAAGAACGAAGAGCGGGAAGAGATCTCACGCGCATCCTCTTCGTACCTACAACTCAAGCACGGTCAGGTTCGGAACATCGGTAGGAGCCCCAGCCGGGTCCTTGATACACGTCTGGGTGGTGTCTGTGGACTTGGACTGGGCAGAGAAAGAGGTGAGGGAGCCACGGCGAGGAGAGCGAGGACGAATACCAAGACGCAAGCCAAGGACGGCGGTACCTACAGCAAGACGCAGCAGGTACTCCGTACCTTACGTATGGTGTGGGTATCTTGGGAGTGGAGGGTGAGGAGTGGAGGAGTGGAGGAGTGGAGGAGAGAAAGAGAGAGAAGAGAGGGAGGGAAGGGGGGGGGGGGGGGGGGGGGGGGGGAGGGGTGTGTGTGGGTGTGTGTAGTACAGCAACTAGCTCCGGTCCTCGCCAGTCGAGCCCAGTCGGATCGAGTACCAGACGCCAGACTAGCTAGGGTGGGCCGTTTCCCACATCGCTTCTGGTTCTTCAAAGAGGCCGGGCGAGGCGAGGAGGACGAGGGTGGACTCGGAGACAAAGTTAGAAAGGGAAGACGGGGTCGATCTAGGATGTGGTGTCCCGAGGGACCCAGGGCGACAGGGATCCATCGCGATCATCATGAACACTCTGAGGGACGGGGATAATGGATGGGTAGTAAGTGGGTACCAAAGATGGGCAGGGGTTGGTTGTCGCAAAGGAACAAAAACGGATCGCACTTGTAGATGATGTGAGAGTGTGGCAGAAAAAGGTACCGATGGAACCAGGGTTAGGCTCAGGATGGAAGAAATGTAGACGATGTTGAACCTCTTTGGGGGACATTTTACAAGTACACTTTTTACCATTACATTGGGGGTGAGAATCGAGGGGATAAAACACCTCCACAGGGCTGTAGCAGACAGGGTAAAAATGTACGTGCGGGTACTCATCACGGAGGATCCGCCGTCTCGGAGGAACATTGGATTCTCAGAAGCTCTTGCTCGTACCACAGCGCAGACAGACATGGTGGGCTGGGGATTGGCTGTGCTGTGCTCATTTTCTCATACACGGGCGAAGCTTTGAGTTTGGGGAGAAGCAATGGCGATTGGGCGGTTAGGCATTTTGCAGCGTTGACGATAATGGAAATGTTCGAGATAATTGGCAGAGGACGGAAAAAAAGGGGAAAACGCATACGCGCGGGTGCAACAGGGTCGCGTGCGTGAGGGTGTGGAAGTGTGTGGTGGACGAGCTTATCTGTAAGAGAAAAAATGCGAGCAAGCCCGTTTCGATCACTCTTGCATCCTCTCTAAAACGAGGGAGATCATAAACTGGCCAGCATCCTCACCCGAGGCTGTGTTGCAACCCACAATCCACAATCCACCTGCCCGGACAGTCAAGAAGTCTCGTCGGTTGAGAGCGGCGGAGATAGATAGATCTCGGCGTGGTCTCGAGCAGCGCAGCAACGGGCAGAACGGTATTACTTCGTACAGTGGTGTAAACGGCGCCAAGGTCAGGATGCAGGCCAGACATGGGAGGTGGGAAGATCCGGCAAGGGGCGTGTAACAGAAAGCGACACGGGGTGTGAGAGAAACTGGGGAACGTCTGGTCTTCGAGAAGAGAGTGGGTATCAATTGAATTTTGCGATCGGAATTGAATTCTCTGAATTATCAATGATTGCTGAGAAATTGTGATGATTTCCTGAGGATGAAGTAATGGTGCAAGTGGAAAGCGGACACGGAATCGGAATATTCAGTTAACTTAAATCGACGTTTGGTTTGCTTGATTGCTGAGATTTCTCTTTCCTCTCTTTTTCTTCTTTCTGCGCCGTCGTTCTTTCCTCCATTCGGGTGATCCCTCTCTGGGAATTGTCGTCGCAGCTTCCCTCGCTCGCTGCAATGTGACGATGGCAGGCAACGACAAAGTACACACGATCCACATCAGGGAACACCAGCCCACAATTGTACCCAAGTAGACCCTGCAGCTAATTACGGCAGCCCCGAGTCGTTCGCTCTTGCCAGACCTCAACCATCTACTCCTGCCACTTAGACCTCTTTCACCGGCTTAAAATGTACATCGATTTATCTCAAGGCAAGAGGCAGAGGTAGAGAGCTCAACGCTCTTGCCCTCTTGTGTGTCTCGTCTAGCTCGACAATTGTCGCAGGGCAGTACTGTAGATCTCGTGAAGGATGACATGAGGGAGGCGGTTTCCATCCCTCCCCTCCATTGTTTCCTGCCCCATGGTTAGGCACAGAGGGGATCTCGAATCGAGAAACGCATCATGAACATCATGAATTATATCATCGATCATTCAAACATTGCCCTTCGATCCTTGAAGATGACGCAGAACAGACCGCCCAACTACGGAGGGGCAACCAGGACATGACCGTAGTCCGTCATCGCTGGTCCGACGAACAGTTGAGAAAAATTACAGGATTGAGAGTTAAGGTATACCATTCGATCACTGCGTCAAATCCCACTCTCAGGGCAGGGCCACTGAGGCTACCCGCTTTTCACTTTGGTTGCCTTCGGGGTTTAGCGCCAGGTACTCTGCCAGGACCCGTTCTTGACCCTTGGTTTACCGAGTTAATACCGTTTGGCTGGACAGGGTAAAGTTAGCGAGGCGGGTCCCTCCGTGTCAGCGGTCAGCCCTTAATACTCTTCCCGGCAAATGAGCGTATTCTTCGTGTAAGTGTTCCTTCGGCTTCCGAGAAGTAAAATACCACATTCTCCACAGCTCACACAACTCACAACTCACACAACGACGCGACAATGGGCAGGGAAAAGCTCCGCCTTTCCTCTCCTACGTGCGTGACCGGAGAATGAGCGGGATAGATCCTCGAGAAACACGGCGCGCCATAGCCTCTCGGGGACGATCCTTTGTCTGGTGTCCGAAATATTCCTACCTTGCTGAGCTCCAACGGCGATCAAATCGGGGGCGCAGCAAGTGAGATCTACCTTTGAACATGGTTTTGAAAAATAAACTCGAAGGAACGTTGTGCGCTCTTCTACTCAGACGGGGGCGAGGTATCAAAATCTCCAGAAGACGGAAATCTTGGTCGCAGCCACCCGTCAGTGTGCCGCAGTTGGAGGGACACACGGACGTCACAAGTCGAGGCTATGACACAACATGCCACCCGACGGACTGACATCCTGCAAGGTTAATCTTCAAAGAGGTTATATTTCACGAGCAAGATCAAGGAAGAGAGACAAAAAAACAAAAGAGAAGAGCGGCACGGTCCAAGATATATCGCGGTAACGAGGGGAAAACCATCGAGCAGGCGTCAAAAGACGTGCGGATCACGAGCGATCATGTTTAGCAATGGGATACTGGAATCAAGTGCATTTTTCTTCCTCTTTGCCTTCCTATCTTGTTCCCCGTTTTGCTTGTTATGGAGAGTCGAGAGAGGCGAACCGTACATCGGTACCGCCCACTGAGTACAGTGCAGCCCTCATCGCCCAGCTTGTGCTTTCTCCCAAAGAGCTATAAGTCTTGCACATATTACCTGTGTATCTGGGTTAAAGTATGGCGGGTGGCGTTGTACACGACACCACGCGCAGACTGAATTCTGCGCTGACCAGTCACGATGTCGAAGCCTAGGCTGGTACGGGTGAATTGAAGCAGTATGCAATGCTACCTCTCTTACCACTGATTCAGAATATCTCACAGTCGACGTGGGCCAATACCTACGCCTCGCATTCCCTTCGTGCGACAAAGGGTCAATTAATGTTCCACTCCAGTCCTTCTAATTCTAGAAACAGCTGGTTCAAGTCGAGCAGTCTGGCGCCTTTCATTTTTTTCTTCTTTCTGTCTCTGTTCTATTTTCACGAATGAAAGAAGACATGTCCTGTGGCTGGGCTCGGCGT